TGATGAAATATTGCTTGGAGCCAATGCCCATGATTGTGCTGGGTAATTAAAATTTTTATTCAACAGATTGCGTTCTACGTATCCACATCGTATAATGGCCGCATCAAGCAGATCGCTCGTAAGTCCACCGGAGGAAAGGCTCCTCTCAAACAGATGGCCACCGGAGGAGTGAAGAAGTCTCATCGCTACCGGCCAGGAACTGTCGCTCTGCGTGAGATCCGTCGTTACCAGAAATCGGCCGAGCTGCTGACTGCAAGTTGCCTTTCAAGCGTCTGGTCCGTGATATCGCCCAGGACTTCAACACCGATCTGCGCTTCCAGAGCTCGGCCCTTAATGGCCCTCCAGTGTCACAATTATTTTATGTTCCATTATCAGTTTTCACAAAGTGTACCCCCATATAGAAATCACAGACGTCAAAACCGTACGGTCGTGTAGTGTAATGGATACAATCTCTTATTCTTTTTGTCAACATTATTTTCATAAGGCAAATCAACTGATTTCTTATTGCGAACTTTGCTAACATTTAAAATTTCAATATCATCAAAACCTCTTTCACGTTGGAAATCGATTTGTGGCCCTGAAAAGGGCCGATTGGTTGTTTGGATGGTACGAATCTACTTTGAGCTGGTGTACTTGGTGACGGCCTTGGTTCCTTCAGAGACAGCGTGCTTGGCCAACTCACCCGGCAGCAGCAGACGGACCGCAGTTTGGATTTCGCGGGACGTGATCGTCGAGCGTTTGTTGCATTGAGCCAGACGGGACGACTCAGCAGCAATACGTTCGAAGATGTCATTGACGAAGCTGTTCGTGATGCTCATGGCCTTCGACAAGACTCCGGTGTCCGGGTGGACCTGCTTCAACACCTTGTAGATGTAGATGGCATAGCTTTCCTTCCTGCGCTGTCTCTTCTTCTTCTTCTCTCCCTTGACGATGATTTTCTGCGCCTTTCCAGACTTCTTAGCAGCCTTTCCACTGGTTTTCGGTGCCATCATGAAATTGTTCACTTCGGAAGAGAATAACTGATAGTCGTTTCGACGGTGGTGTCTCGTTTTGTGCCCGTAGCATAAGAAGCGAAACTCCTCCCCTTTTCAGTATTTTGCTGTATGTATTGTTCCCTCCCTGTATTAATAATGTGCTACTCAACGCAGGTATAAGTATACCCTCGACGAGTGAAATAAACCGACCTATCTGGTAGGTCTGTTTGCCATTCACGCAAAGCGTGTCACAATTATGCCAAAGGACATTCAGCGTGCTCTTCGTATTTGTGATGAACGCTTTTAATTTCTCCGTCGAAATCTATCAAAACCGGCCCTTTTCAGAGCCACTAAAACTGATCGCATCACAGTGAATCCTGATCTAAAATTGCAACCAGCAAGTGCCCTAGAACCAAAAGCGGTGCGATGCTATGAAGATGACTGTTAGGGGTTTAGAAGCAGAAGGGTGAAAGCCAATTCTCTTTTTCGATTTCCTCTTTTGTGATGACCATGGCTTCCTATTTCGCACTATTTCTGCTATGCTCTTCTGTCGTCCAACGTATCAATGAATGTGTTTGCCGTCGAGTTAACGTTATCTGACCGTGCACTTCGTAGTTGCTCCTCCGTGAATGATCACAACTAATCCACTTGCACAGAGAACTACACAGATGGTGCATGGGATAAGCTTTCCATCTTCAATGTACATTACACATTAATTCAATCTATAGATCAATTCACAGCGCCGACCACGTCATCATGGTCTTTTGGGGAGGGAAGGATGATTAGTTCGACGTCCGGTTGTTACTAGAGACCGAGAATACCTCTACATCTCCACGGCTGTCTCGGGAAGGATAGTTGTGTAAGTGAGGTAGGTTATTTTTAGATTAGGATTAACTGTGGTTAGTGATGCGATCGGTTAAAGCAAAATTTGTTTTTCTATTTAAATCTAGTGGGGATAAAATAAGGCAAAGTGAAAAATTGCAAGGAAGGGCAGGCCAGGATTCATCAGTAAGCAGAAACGGTAACCACTGAACTACCAAACCTCGTCGTAATGCTACATCGACATGTTTCGTCTACCTACTACTCTCTGACGACTGTGCTGGGCAAGCAGCATATGCATGTACGTAATTGGTGGATTTGTTAGTTAACTCGACCCTTTTGGAAAATGCTGGACATGTACTACTTTTTCAATAGTTTCTTGTTGAAAATCAACATTGTCATTTTTTTATGCATTTCAGTTTTGAGTAGAGTGAAAGAGATAGAACCAAAATATTCTAGTACATTTGGTGAAAATGCTAGTACAATCCAATAGTAGTGTTGCCATGTGGTACAATCCAGTAGTAGTGGTGTTGCCATGTGGTACACTGAAAAATTGCAATAGAAGGTTAGTCACCAAAGTTTTCGAGCCGCTCCGTCTGTCACTTCGTTTGTGGTACTGCCAAGATTTGACTTAATGATAGAATGAGTAAACCTTCGTGAAGCCCCATAATATTATTGGTTTGGTTTATTGGGTTCTCCAAAATTTCTAGAGATCAGATTTTTGAACTCATGACTTTGGCCTTAGAGGTATGGATTCAGATCTTTATGTTTTTCCACACTAACCTCGGTATTCAAAGATGTCATAATCTTGGCACAAAACGCAGACATTAATTTTTAATTTATCTCTAGACTAATCATCTCATGATTTTTTCAGTTCGTTGATTGTGTCAGTGTCATTTGCATGCCAAGCCTGATTGGACATGCAAGAAGTTTGAGATAGCATGAATCTGCTTCTCTATCTTCAAGTAGCTTCGTAACAGGATATGTCTCGCTCAGCCTTTATATTAGAACTACTTCACTCGGAAAACCGTAGCAAAAGAGTTCAAGCACTTTTTTTTCCAATGTCACCAAATGAAATTCTAAAAATTTACTTTATAGGCTTTCGTAATAGGAACAACGACAAAAACGCTCCTAGTCACGGGCGCGAACGGATTGCGAGTGAGAGAAAAGAATAGAAATTTTGTAAGTTTTTTACATTTTACCACATAATATGAAAGTTGTATGCAGATATGTAAACAAGAGAATATAATGATGTTTGTTATATAAAGTTGATTGATTCTAAGTATCATTGCAAGTTTAAAGGTTTAAAGGATTCTTCAAGAACAAATTATGGCTTACGAAAATATGATAAAACCAAAATTGTTTACCCGCATTTTTCTCGGTTTTCCCAGTTGGATGGACACCCTGTATCACATATTCGAAGGATGTCCCCTTTGATAGCGGATAGCTGCTTTTCTCATTTTCATTAAAAAATTTCATTCGATTTTGAGAATTTACAGCACTGATGCAAATATTGGTAAGGAAACTTCTTAAAATATGTTGATTAAATATAATCTTAATCGACTTCACCAGTGATGCCAGAAAGGGTTTCTAAAAATAACTTGGTAATTCAACCACTGAATATATTGGTACATGGGCGCTGGTCGAAGACAAATGTCCTAACACGGACATCAATTTCAGATACCTTAAGAGCATCTAGAGAAACCGCGTTTCTATAATAAATGTCATACTGACGACAGTTCTTTAACGTTAATGACACATTTCACGCGCTAATATGAAATTATAATTTTGAATGGTAAAAGACAATAAAATAGCCACGGTGAGAATTTCGATGATTTCTTCGTGTTGCAAAGCCACAATTCAATATTCAAGAAGTTTTCAAGATCAACATTTGAAATATTTGATTCATAATTTTGCGACCATCAACGCCACCGGCTCATGCATCTACCAACCATCCATGTAGCAATCTCCCTTCAAAGCAACGACTAACTGAGCCCTGAGCAGAGAAACTGGAGAGCGAGCTAGTGAGCGAACGCAAAGACATGTCAGAGGCCACTGCTGGCTGAAGCCATCTTGTTTCGAATCCATTCGACAAAACTGTTCGAAACACCATAGAAAAGCAATTTCAGCAGACAGCCTGAAAAAAAAACTTCTCTCCATTCATGCCCAAACAACATCGGGGCGAGATGGAAAAGAAACTTTTGCCGTCTCCCTTATTGCCTTGTCTTGCCTCGCTCGAATGAACGAGTTTCCCATATTCAAACACTCCGACTCCCGGTCCGTCCGTCCGTCCATCGGTCGCAGCATTGCATTGTGTTAGTACAACCATCCTGTTTCGTCGTTGTGTTGTGACAGGCAAAACACACTCATACACTTGAATGGGAGGAAAATTAGTACTACTCAGTACTCGCTCGTCGTGGTCCAAACACTAGCCTTTCTTCAAACTGTAGGTATACGATTGACTCCTCCAAGGGATCGTGCTCTGTATTCGTGAAGGCACACACAACACAAACATTCCGCACCGTTCCGTCGATGTTGTTTCATCTCGTTGTCGTTCAGGTTCGGGCGAGGGTACGTCGTACGGACGGAATTCGGTATGTCGCCCTCGCCTTGCTTGCTTGCAGCACAGGGTTCGGGTTCGGCATGAAGGTAGGTGCCCGCTACGAAGCAGCAGCAATGTTGGACCCTACTGAACTATGCGAGGGAATCAGCCGATCTTGATTGAATCTCGGTCGGTTTGCTTTCTATGCGAAGAATGTATTGGATCTAGCTTACGTTAATTGTAAGATTTTTTTTAAAGTTCCCGCAGTTTTTCAGTTGATTTTTGATTCAGGGATAGTTTTCGCTTCATTAAAATTTGTCGTATAATCTTTTGCAATTAATGTTAATCACAGTTTTTTTTTAATTGAAAAAGGAATTTACCTTTTCAATTAAAGTTTATTTTAATTACAAACAGTTTGTAACAGACATAAACCCATCAGCTCAGACTGCATACCGAACGAGAGAAAGAAAAAAAGCGAAACGCTAAAAACACAAGAAAACTTGAACAAGAGGCAGACGAGATAAAGCGAAAACGGAAAGGTAGGCACGCGGATAAAGTCGATCCGAAACCGACGCGCGACGGCGGAGGTGTGGAGAAGAAACGAGAACTAATGGGGGTATGAGAGAGCAAATTGAAAATGTAAGATGTAGAAAAACAACACTTACCTTTCGGTTACTGGTCCCCGGTCAGCAGTCCGGTCTAGCCTAGGTCGCAGCCTCGCGATTCCGAGCGATCGCCTTAAGAGGGTGGAGGCGCATTTGGATGGATTAACTGGAAGTTGGAAAATTGCACAATTATTGTTTACGCGTTTTCCTCTTTCCTCTACTCGCCGTTCAGAGCGAGTGAGAGGCTGTGTGTGTGTGTGTATGTGTGTTTGTTTGTTTGTTACTTAAGATGCTATGTTTTCCGAACGGGGAACGGAGATGGGTAATTCTTGACTTTTCTTCGACTATTTACATGAAAACATGTTGACTGGCACCGGGGGAGAGTTTCGGAGCTTCGGGAAATGGTTTTTCTCTATTTACGTCTCGGTACTTTGGGCGAAAGTTTTCTGTTTTTTTTTTATTGGGTCTCTTGTGTGTGCGTTCCTGGAATTAAGATCCGACGTTCTGGGAATAGACAAAAGTTTTTGGCAATAACATTCGTTTTCCAATTCAGCGCACATAAATGGATATTAGGAGACAACGCACAAGCATATGTGTAGGCCGACTCAATTCCATAAATGTTTGTTAAACAAAATAGGGAGTGTAAGGTATTTGTTTTCTATACTAATACAGTGAGATCTCGTTTTTGGAAACACAACTGCTTCAGCTATTTGGCCAAAATCGAGACCTTTTCGACGTGTCACAATTGAGTGCTAAAATAGCTTAACAATAATAATCAATCCCCAAGTGTTATATTGGAAAGCCAAGGAAAAATGCTATTTTAGAATATTTACAGAAAATGGTTACCAAACTCGAATACCGTGTTGCCAAAACCGAGATTTGACTTGTGCTAAAATGACGTAACACAAATCTCCCTAGCGTGTAATTTCAACATATGTAGCATACATTTTGTAAAAATATAATTTAAGAATACCTTCGGAAAATTTAGATTTTGGTATTGCCAAAAACGAATTTAAGCCATGTTGCAAAAATTGAGGCTTGCCACAATCGAAGCATGCCAAAACCGGGATCCATCTGTACATAAAATTAGATTAAGAAGAAGGTGGAACATTTGTTTGCGTTAGGTAAAAATAGAATAATTGTTTTTGATAGTCCCTGGGGAGTATACAGACAATGCAAATCGACTTGATGAAGAGATAAAGAAAAATGATCTTATAAACAACACGTTCCGTTCAGCTGGCACTGTTGTAGGAAAAACGGTTAGAAGAATTAAAGAAATTACGGGAACAGGAGAAAGCACACCGTAAATTGCTACCCAGGAAACATTAGAAGAACACCGTCTCCACGTCGCCCATCCGACACTAGTTGGGAATTTTCAAGAAATTGTAAGCAGAAAACACACCGTAAATTACCACCCAGGAAATATCCAAATAACTTATCACGACCCACCCAAGTTACAATATTGGTTTTATAAGGGTTCTGTCGACTAGGATTTAGACTTTTAGAACTACGGTAGAATTTTTAAAGTTTTTCGGCTCCGTGGAGTCTCTCATGAGAATTTAGCCTACCAAATAAATGATGGAAAATATATGGAGAAACTTTCAAAATCTCAGCTTTGAAAATAAACTGAATTATTCATCTACGGTGAGATCTTACTTAATGATTTTTTTGAGCAACTTTCCTGGTCAGGGTGTCGACTCAACGAAGAAAACCAAATTCCCTGATATTCCCTGATTTTCTAGAAATTAAAAAAAAAAAAACAGATACAGTGCCTACCCTTTTTGGCAACACAAAATCCTCAGCTATTACTTTCCACGGATATTTTTTTTTTCAAGAAATACCACATGGACCTCTAATCCATGAAGAATGGACCAGTAAAATCTCAAATTGAATAAAGCGTTCCATTCATTTTATAGAATGAAAAAAAAAAGACAAAAATCACGTGTTGCCAAAATGGAAAGGCCCCGTATTTTTCTAAATTCCCAAATTGTAAGGCAATTAGTTCAAGCAGTAATTGGGATGTTACTATGTTTGATAGTGATGTGTGAAGAAAACTGCAACCATCTCGATATAAAAAAAGGCTTGGCTTTGCATGGCAAATTTCTCACCCTTAGGAGTTCCGTTCTGACTGTTTCCGAACTCAACTCTAGGGGCAGAAATTCATCGGCCATAGAAAAACTATTTAGATTGCAAAGTTAACCAAAAATGACATGTCTCAGCCTTGTTGACTTGACAAATTTTCGATACACTGGGACATTTATTTATATATTTTTTTGAGGATAAAAAATAAGAATTCCGACCGTGAAAAAATATTTAAGATTTTAAGAGGAATATTCGAAAATTTTGATTTACTATTTTTATTAACAGAATTCGATAAAAAAAAGTTAAAAATTCCATTCTAATGCCCGTTTTTGACGTAGGATTACGTCTTTCGGCAACATATTGGGGGTGCAATTAAAAAAAAAACAAAATCGACCGTAATACCACAGACAAACAGACATAACACATTGAATATTTCTCATTGTAAAACATCGTCGCTAAAACATTACCACCATCTGTTGAGTAAACTGTGGTGGGTAGTGCGCTGAACAGATGGCGGTAGTGTGTAAACGTCAAACGCAAAGGAATTGACTATGCACGCCACAGGTAGCAGTACTACCAACTGAGATACTTTTAAATTGACCGTTAAATGCTTGTTCGATGAACAACTTGTGAGTGTTATTTCTGTTTGTCTGTGGTAATACGAAAAGATGTCAGGTTTTGACCACATATAACTCTGTCAATAGCGGATGGATTTTAATTCTAAACAAGCCGAACGATTGGAAATCTATCAACGAATCTGCTAAAATGAACACTTTAATAATTTTCAATAGGTCACTATTGAAAATTACCCAAATATCCAACTGTTGCAATGGTGATCAAAATTATCACCGATTGCCTGCAAAAAAACACTTTCCCTAACACAGATTTCAAAATCGAATTCCATCCGGTCTCACTGGTAGTGTCCGGTGCTTTCGGCGCATGGCATTGAACATTGTTCTCCAGTACACAACGAAAGGCTGCCTGCAAGCAGCGAGCTGAAGCCCACATGAGCGTCCATAGAAGGAGGAAGAAGCCGCACCGCTACAGATCGTAATCAGTAGCTCTTCGTGAGTCGCTGTGGGCCATCTATGCCAAGCGCGTCACCTTCGTTCCAAACAACATACAACTCGCCAGCCTCATCCACGTTGACCGCCCTAATAGCTCAGCATTACTCAAACATCACGAAAAAACGGTCCTTTTCAGAACCACCATACATTCATTATTGTTGTTAAAGAGTTAATTTTCATTGAACGTTCGCTCGCCTTGCTGCCAGCCACATCAACCACAAAGCTCTTTGATAATGTACCCAGCAGCAACAAAACGTTTGTGGCCAAATGCGTCAAGTATTGAAGTGGTACATACAAATTCTCGCATTGACCGAATACCACATGACCATGCCAATTCACCAGAAACACTTCGAATTAAGGTAAGGTTTTCTCAAGGACGCTAGAAAAAACAAAACAAAATCTCAGATTTATATGATTGATTGCAAATATCTCGCGATTGGACAAATTTTAGCAACAAATTCCTCCAAATAATTTTCGCTTTTTTTATTTATCAAATACGCCAAAAATTTCCATGCGTTTTGTGCACGCAAGTGCGTAATTTTGTCATCAGAAAACGATGCGTTTCCGTGATGGGAAAAGTGGTTTCCCTAACACAGTCGCCGAATAGTGATACTGAGCACTGAACATGCCACACGGTACCTATATCTATGCCTTTTAATGCAAGTTTTTAGCCCCTCCTATTAAGAGAATTATACCATTTTTTTTGCCAGATTCTCTTAGTGGAAGGGGCTTAAATTTGGATCAAAAAGCATTAACGTAGGTACCGTCTGGTATCCTCAGATTCTGTGATTTATGTGTTTTCCCTAATACATATTACATTTCCGAACACCAAATTAATGGGCAGTTTAATCTCTTCAAATTTCTGCACTTGTAGTGCGAAGTAAGTGATATTTGAAAAAATTGTATGCGAGTTTATCGATATAGCCATGTTGCAGCATTTGGCTACACAATACAATAACTAATAAAAGAGTTCAAGTAAGAGCTTGTATCCAAGTCATATCGTCCAGGATTGGCTTGTACTACATGGGCACCTACAGAGCACCTCAACAACATAACTCTCGAATTGCTTCCGAATTTCAACCTATCGAACTTTTTCACTGATAACGAGTTAAAAAATCAATTTAATATTTACTACCTTTCGTAATCCTCCGTCAAATCGACGGTCGTGTCTTCGATACAACCTCTTACTTTTTTATTATTGATTTCGATTCCCAGTTCTTCTGGTTTTCTGGTTATGAAATATAACTAAAATCAGTAAAGAGCATGTAATTAGGGATCAAAACATATATTTAATTCTATATCTCATAATTAATCTTCATCTTCTGAACTGTCTATCTATCTATCTATCTATCTATCTATCTGAAACTATCTTATCTACAATTAAATCCAGGACTTCTCTTGGTAATAGTTGGGTTTCATCGGTGACTTACTGAGAGATGTGATACCAGGATCAGATGACACTAAAAGCCGATTCAATATGTCCTAATTCGTCTTTTCTCTTCTAACTAAAGCTGTATCAGCCTGAAGATTTTGCTGAACTTTTTGATTTTTAAGCATGAATTCTCAAGCATTTCGCTCCAAATGACACTTAATTGTTTTGTCGCAACAATAACAGAGGTAACTCAAATAAACTTCCATTATTGCGACACTGCACAGCTGTATCGAGTCCCTCCCGATAAAGGTAACTAGGTGGTGGATAGAGCTGGGATGGCTGCGATACAAGTTATGGGTAAATACCCCATTCAAGAAGAAGGTTTCGTGATCGCCAAAATTAACGGAATATTCATATGCAGTTGCTACGCACCCGATGAACGACGGAGCAGGTCCACGAGGAACTGTAGTCATCAGAGGAGACTTCAATGCTTATGCAGTGGAGTGGGGAAACAGATGTACCAACGCAAGAGGGCACATTCTGCTGGAAGCTCTGGCGAAGCTGGAAAACCACCAGCACTTTTTGCAGAGATGGCCGGGAATCCATTATCGACGTCACTTTATGCGAACTGCAGTCCATCGCAGG